CCTCCTTCCTCCTCCTCCTCCTCCTCCTCCTCCTCCTCCTCCACCTCTCTCCTCCTCCTCCTCCTCCTCTCTCCTCCTCCATTTCCTCCTCCACCTCCCGTCGCGACTTCCACCACCTCTGCCTCCACCAGCTTTCGTCACCAGTAGCATCGCAAATCATTATTATTACGTCTTTATGGCAATATTTTCATCACCGTCGCCACCACCATTATACACAAATACCCTTCTCTTTCGAAACCCATCGTTATTTACTTTTTTTCTCTCTTCATCATCACAAGAACCTATTTTCATCATCGCAGTGACGTCACAGCTTGTACAATCGCGATAATGCCACATTGCGTTTGCTTATTACAGCCATAATGAAGCTCACGGGTAAATATTCCACAGTATCTGAAATTCCTTACCATACAAGTCCGTACTGTTCGGTCTAACGTACCTCAATGATGTAAAATTAGAAAAGACAAAAAACGGGAAAATTAAAAAAAAATAAAAAAAAAGCAACAACTAATTACCGTATATTTGTTTATTTGTTTTTTTTTCTCTTCCTCTCTCCTTCTTTTCCTTCCTGTGATAGAACGCAGTGGAAGAGACTTTTGTCAAAGAAAACGAGTGATATGGTATTTCTGGGTATCCTTCACTCCTAACCTCAGGTGGTCAGAGTTGCCAGACTCCTCGAAACGCCAATTTTCCTTTGAATTATCTGTTTTGTGGCATGTCTCTGGCGCAAAGGGAAAGGTCTTCGGGAAATGCTAGCCTCTTTTGTGATTGTGTCATCGGTGTGGACGAGAGGAAGGACGGATTCGCCGAGCAGAAATAAGGCAGAGAAAATGGGCAGTATATGCACCGAGGAGATGAAATTCGATCCTATGGTTATATCTGATATGGCATTAGAACCTAAACTGTGTTGTAAATTTCCCCCCTTTTTGCTTCTCGTATTCGAATGCATTTGTATTACAATCATAAAAGGGATAATATTAATAATTTTGGTCAGGCATGCGAACTACTGACACGCTTTTTCAATCTGCGGGAAAACAGTGCCAGACTCACAGGTTATAAGATCGAATTTCATGTGCTGAGAACCTGGCCAAGTAGCCCTAACGTGTGCGCCGTGACGACAGGTGGAAGGCCGCTGCGCACCGCCGGACGTTGGCCGTTCGTGTGACTCATTTTTTTGGAATTTAGATACATTCCCGGCCGCCGGAGCCCCGACGCGTCCACCTGGCGGCCCGCGCCGCTGCCTTTCTTGGCTCCAGAGTCTGTCTCCTTTCCTTTCTCTGGAAATGTCTAGTTCCTCCAGATGCCTTTTCCGTTCCCGCGATCGAGAAACGGCGTTGGCGGCCTCGGCAAACAAAGAAATAAACAAGGTGTTGAGTGGCGTTGCGTGCGCGAGAGCCCGGCGTAGGCTGCTGCTGCTGGCGGGCGGGAAGTGGGGCTCGCTCGCGGCCGCCACCTGGCCCCTCCGCCGCCCCGCCGCCCCGCCGCCGAGGGCCGGATGACCTGGGATCGACGCCTTCCACTTCTCCGCTACTTTTACCTCATTAGTTGAATGATCAGTGGGCACAGCTACCCATGAATGTAAATAAAATGGGAAAAGAAATTCATGTGTTCTTGTCTCCATGGAACTCCAAGGAAAGCAGCCGCTGGGGAGGCGGTAATAACTTGCCATCTTTGTGACAGTATGGAAGATCGCCGTGAGTTGTCTCTGATTGGCTGAGATGAATGTGTCGAGTGGTGGCTATAGGAGGGTTACGCGTGACGTCACAGTCACTATGGTGACCTCGGGCGGGGAGCTGGTGTCTGACCGGTCCAGCCGCACACCTTCGCAGCCCGCTACTCCTCGCTCCGGTGCATTCGATTCTCCCCTTCCAGAAACTTTTATTTCACAAATTTCCCTTAATCCTTTTAATTCTCCTATATTAGTGAGCAGTTATATACAATATACAAAATGGCATATAAGCAGTATGCATGACGTGGTGACAGAAATTATTTGTTCCAGACTTCTGATTCCGTTCGAATGCACCCAGGGCCCAAGACACTGTAACAAACGAGGCCTTGTGAATCTCCTTAAACAGCTATCCCTCTTCCTTATTTTGACCTTCTCTTCCACGTGACCTGACCTCTGGCACGTCGATCAGATAGCATTTTATTCATTTTCTAATTTTCTATCCCTCTTTTTTTAGGCCTCACACTCAAATTCACCCAAATTAAGGAAATAAATAAAATTCACACCAGGCAGCAGAAACTCGGCCTATGGACTGGGATTGAGCGACGCAGTATCGACAGGCGAGGAACGAGGGAGCCTCAGGATGGAAATTGTGAGTTCGGATTTCATCTTCGGTTTCTCAAAAAATGAAGGAGGGATAGGCATGTGTGAGATTTTATCTATATCTATCTATCTGTCTATCTATCTATCTATATATGTATGTGTGTGTGTGTGTGTGTGTGTGTGTGCATATATATATATATATATATATATATATATATATATATATATATATAT